TCAGAACACAACAGATAAAAGTGAACAAGCATTATTGAATTATGTTCAACAATTTATTATTCATGTTTAACACGCATTTCGGAGTATTCCTTGTGAATGATTGATGGGATACCACGACTCATTCGATATACATTATCTCGGAGCAGGAGTTCAGCTTTTCGACGCTGTTCCAAGGATCAGCCGCTTTTGTCACTCTTTGGTAACAATAGGATTGGATAAACACTTCGTAGTGTACACAAAATATTGCATTTCTCTGTTTAGCTTCTGATAAAATAGTTATTAATGTAAGATTATGTCTAGGCATTCCATATTTGTTTTACTGTAACTAAGTATTCTTAGTGTGTCTATAGCTGTCGCGGAGAACCTAACAGGTTACCGGGGCTCCGACTCGACGCGCGACGTGCAGGAGAAGGAACGGGGTGGTTTTTAGTCAGTAAGAGTCTGACACTCCTTCCCGCCTCACCCAGGCGGGAGCAGTCATTCGATGATTTTCACCCCTTAATAAAAAAGTGTGTCTCTATAGCTATTTACTTTTATTTTTATGAATTCGTTGCTTGTTTGTATTGTCTTGCTTATGCTTATCTGCAAGACAGAAGTAAATAATTATGCAGTAGGTATTGCATTAGCTAAGATACCGATTATATTGGTACAAAATCAGTCTTTACGTCAAATAAAACAAACAATGTTGGCACAAATATTTTATTTTTCTCAACTAAGTATATAATCATCTTTTTATGTATTAATAGGACAGTAATCATTATCTTATAGCCTACCAACATACTTCAAAGATTTATAAACCCGCTCATAAAGAACATAATATTTTATAATTATTCACATCTACACAAATTATGTTCTTGCTACGCTTTATTTATCAATTCCTAACAGTTGAATATAATCACACGGTAATAGATTACGCATGAGCAAAAATTGTTTAATAATTTTATATAGTTTTATATTTCTTCATACAGATTTCCAGTATTTTCAATTTACTTCATATCACTGTCCTATTAACGAATATATGCCCAAAGTACACATTAATATTATATTTTTAATACCTATTAAGTCATTCATATATTTACAATAATTTACAGATAAAATATTGAATAACTATTCAATTTATTTTTTCTTATTACATTGGCGTTTCATTTTTATAATTAGAACAGATAAAATCTAAAGGTGGTGACCAACTTCATTATTTAATTTCTTCGACCCCAGCATTCGAGCCGTATGTAACTGAAAATAACTGGATTTAAATTGAAAATCAGCCGGATACCTCCCCACAGTTCTTTATACTCGGATTGTGATATTATTTCACGTCGCAACTCGATTTTATATGGAATAACTGAATTCCCCAGAGCTGTACCAGTAAAACAATACATTTTTGTTGGGTTTTTTCTCAGTTTCGTATTGTAGTAATTTCAGACAATAATAGTGGTGATATTTATGATAAATATTATCATTCATTTTGTCTCCCGCTTTACGAACGAGGAAAATGGAACTGTTACTTTTTCCCATTCTTTGGCTTTGTTTTGATTAAATTGGTAGCGGCTTCCAAGAAAATCAAGCTTATCCCGAGATACGCTGAGCATTATTGCTTATACTTTAATAAAGACTACTGTCAAAGTAATTCCAGAAATCCGTAAAAACATTCATAAAAAGGAAACACATTACCTACTAAATATTTCATTATTATTTGCATTTGAGTTCAATCCCATGTAACAAGTGCAGTGCAAGTAAAACTTTCGTCAAACGCACGTCAACGTCAACACGTTTGACGTCAAAGTGCTGATGTTACATGACATCACGGCCGTGTTTGACGTGTGACGTGCGCGTCATGTCATCAAGTTTACCAAGAAATGTACCGTCAATACCTAGTCTAGCATTTAGAAGTAAAAATACCGTTTTAGGTCCGACGGACTTACTAAAATACTCATAAATCTACATTTTTTTTTCTATTAATAACCCAAGTTAGTCACCACTTTATATACAAACCTTTACTTAACATTGGATAAAACCTTCGTTAGAATAAGCATATTCAAAACAAGATGTATTCAATTTGTATCTATCTAATTATCTTTAACGACCCTACATTATAGGACCGTGCCTAACGATGTAATAAACACGACAAATAAATAATGGATTTGACATCTAACACGTTCCTAATGATTTTCATAAAACTGTTAATAATACTCTGACGTCTGTTATCTTTTTTCCGCAATTAAATTTAATTTAAGCCGCATATAAAACTGCATATCATTCAAATAAGGGACATTATTGAACACGAAAATGATGTATTCCATATTTTAATTCTAGAATCAGCTAAATTTAAATTTGCTTTTACAATTTTTCTTGTACCTAATTAAATAATTTGGTAGAGCATGCCCTTTCGACTTTATACAAAATACCAATAATTATGTATACTACTTAAAATCAATGTTATATTGTTAGTTTTACATTACGTTACCTACCGTTTAGAAAGAGAAATGCATAAGACTTTATATATCACTAGATGACTCACATCCAATAGATTTATAATCCATTAATTTATTTCAAAGAATTTTATGTTGGTCCGAAATTGGGATAGGTGATAGAGGATCTGCAAATTAAAGTTTCGTTGTTTTGCCGAACGCTACAGAATAAGGGAGAAAGATGTGTTTATGCAACATAAATGACATTCGTTTTATAATAAAGTGCAAGTAATTAGTTTAAAAATGCAAATATGTAAGGACATCATAGTCATTAATGCATGTTATTAATTTGTTAATAATATTAACACTAGAAAGACGGGAGCAGTCATTTGACCGCAATTTGATTTTAAATGTTGAATAACTTGAAATCTACTTAAGTTTTTAAACTGAGACTTTGTGACTTTTATTTATTTTACTAGTTGAATGCAACTATGTATGAAAATAAATCACAACTCTTTTATTAATTATTTAAAATCTTGATCTACCGACAAAGACGGCGGCAGTCATTTGACTGCTGACAACCAATGAGTGTTTATAAGTGTAATATGAGAGGGTAGAATACAAATTATATACACTAATTCATTGTTTATAGTTTGCTTATCAAATGAGACCGTATCATTTCAAGTGTCTGTGAACTTATACGAAATTATTGAAATTAGTTTGTGGTCGCGACGTGTTGGAGTCTTGAAAATGAAAAAATGTTTTTTACTTCCAAAATATTTGTGAAGATGAGTCTGATTTTGACTCTAAAAATACAAAACGTGATAGCGACGACGATTATATGGTACTACTTGGCAGTTCGAATTCCTCTACGGACGGAAGTGACCTGAAAGACCAGATACTACGAGCAAATTTATCAGACGTTGACAGATCGCATTCTCGTGGTTGTAGTCGTTGCTGTGGTAGTGATAAAGGCTGTGAAAGGAGTTTGGAAGATCCTGAGCATCAAGGTCTTTTCACAACTATCGACTGTATCTTGTACACACCTCAAATGGCATCTACTCTAAGTGGTCAAATGTCGATGAATCTGTTGATACAGATGCGTCTTGTGAAACTTTTTGCAAATACTGGTCAAAATGTTACGAGCATCTCAAAGGTGAAATAGATTTTTTTTTATATTTGAGACCTAGCAAAGATATAACATAATTTAGATAATTTACCTTTTTAGATATAATTCCTTCATTTGGTATAGGAAAATGTAGAATATTACATGAAACAAAGGCTATTTATACTAAATTCAGGGGGCGAACTTAGAAGCAAAGTATAAATTGAAGAAGACTCTCTGAAACTGAATCCTTGCCTGAATAGTCTAGATCTTTTACTTCACAATCTTCTGCACAAAATCCAGTAAATTCCAAAATATTATATAGATAAATGCAAATAAAAAACCCATAAAGAATGCGACAATTGCAAAAAGCCACTTTGCGGCTTTTGTAATGTAAACAAAATGATGAAATTAGAAATTCTATACATATTACTTAAATAACAGTATATTATACCATGTTTAATACTATAGGTACCATTTCTAGCACTTAAACATAAAAAAATATCAAAAAAACTTGGAGCAGTCATTTGACCGCTCGCCGTCTTTGTAGGTAGATGATTTTTTCCGTCTTTCTAGTGTTAAATTAGTAAAACACGTAATTTAATTAATTATCAATTCTGAAATAATGATGAGTTTTTGTATAAAACAGTGTAGCGTATAAAATAATTGAACTATAATGCCAAAACTGATGAAACTGGATTTGGTGCGAATGATTAATTGATTTTCTATCCAGCTATTACGTTTTTTAGATTAATGCAGTTAAGACCAAGTTTTAAGTTTAGAAAAAAGAATCATAAACATAACATTACCCTAGAGTAAGTATAAAAATCTATTCGGAAAATATTGCTTAATTTTCTTCAGTATAATTTGTTAGACTTACCAATTAGGGGATATTAATGAAAGATAGAAGTTTAAAGGATAGGATAAATACAATACACATATGAAATATGTGTGGATACAATAGAGAGAAAAATCTAAACTAAAGGCTACGAGGGTGCATATCTAGGAAGAAGTGGACTCTAACATTAACACCTAATCCGATGTTTGGCAGTTTCATTCATATCATAAATATCCTAACTATAAAATATAGTTTCGTTACCAATTAATTTAGAGAGTAAGATATCATTAACATTGATTACGTAAAGGGGATGCTTTAAACAAATTAGACAGTATTTAAACAGGGTACAAGGAAACCGCAAAGCCCCACTTGGCCACGATTATGGTTACCCACATCGTTCGCTTTACCTATTTTCCTCAATCGCTTTACAAAACTTGTTCGTAAAGTAACGGTTCTTAAGGGACGATGCTAATGTTCAATAATCATTTATTAAACTCCTTTAATGCATAATGTTACTACGTGGCTAGGAAATGGATAAAAAATACGGTCCAATCGAATTACAGTGGGAAATCAGAATCAGAAAAATACATATATAAAATTTAAATATATTTACAAGGATAAGCTTATTTTTATAAACCCGTCAGGCCGTATGAATGAAGAAATTCCAATCAGAAGTCGCAATTTTATTTGTATGATGTTATAGGTAGTTACTTTCAGAGCATACTACTATACATCTATCAAATATTACCGGTTCCTTGTCGTCCCCTTACATAATTAATTTGCTTTTATTACTCCGGCGCGGCTCTATTTGCTTCATAAAATCTTTTTCCTTTCTTTTACAAATACATGTAAAATAAAGAATACAATAATAAAGTCTCATTTACTTTGAATTCCATCATTGTCTTGTTTAATAAATATGCTACAGTAAAATTAGGAACGTTAATTCATTTTCTAATTGATTTTATATTCTAGCAATGTTATTCCATTCAACACCCCGAGATTACATTTCCAATGAACGAATAAAATTCCGTTTCGTCGAAACGATTTGATATTTGAAATACTTTACATTTTGTAACTCTAAGTTTTCACTAAGAACAATAATAAATGTTTCGAATGAAATATCTATCACGATCTAGACTATAGGTTAAAGCACTTTAAAATATCTGGTCGTAGCTATTTAATATTCATTCACATATCATAATATAACATTTACGATCATTATACCAATTCTACAAATGTATGTCGTACATAATAATACGTCTAATAAAAGCTTATATCAATTTACTGGACGTCAACATCTCCGTACTTAACTTACTTACCGAGTACCATTATTTAAATTGTTTGACGCAGATGAAATATTGAAGAAGCAATTAAATGTAAAGTAAGGCAGCCTTCCAAATGTAATAATAATATCAAGACACTGAAATGAACACCGATTCACTAACTAACGCCTGTGAGACGTGTCCGCATCAAACAATGTAAAAAAGGCACTAACTCAACCACTACGGGCGTATTCTGGTCGATACTCCTTATCGCTCCCTCGCCGAGCGGCAATGAGAGATGAAAAGTGATTCTGCACAAACCTATTCCTTTCCAAATGCGGATTACAGCCTTTCGTTCATCCTGGATCTTGTTTAGGATCTAAATTAGCCCTTCTTTCCTGAAGGGCTCCCAACAATGCTTCTCTCACTTCTCGCTCTGAACTACGCCACAATCTTATCAGTTCTTCTTCTGATAATAGTGACAATTCTGACCTGGCCCCCATCGGAGGTACTCTAGGGTACGGGGGCGCGGGTGGCAAGTCCGAATCATCTTGAGATACTAGAATCTCCACGCTAGCTTGTGGAGTGTGACAGTCTGTGCTTGAAACATCTTGATAAGATCGAGTGGAGGATCCTTCTGCGCGCCGAACCATTGGTGAAGGTGTTCGAAGGCGAGTGTTTATGTCAGGTGGAGAGCTGTTTAAGACATCTCGACTTAGTCTTCTTCCTATGTTATGACTTGTGCGTTCATAGATATTAGATACTGATTCTGTATTTAAGACTGAGTCAGTGCTAAACCGCCGTACGTTGAGTCCTGCTAAACTACATCTTTTTCTTCGGCCTCTCGGTGATCGCAATTGGCGGGGTGATCGGCTTTGTCGAGGCGAACGATTAGATACATCGGGGGACGGAGATAGAAATTTACACTCTGTTACTTCTTCTGATGCTTCAGTTTCAGTTTCTACTGGCTCTTGTTCTTTAATGGAACCTAAAGAGTGATCACGTTGCTGCACCCTGGTGAAAATATCAATTTTGTTAGAAGAAAATAACTCTGACATTCACATCTCTTTCTCCAAATTAAACATTTCTTTCTTACCTTCGTATCGCTTGAATCATTTCATAGAGTTGTGCTTTACTTTTTCGACGTCTACGCTGTTCGTGTTCCTTCTGAAACAAAGGTACATTCCTATCGTAATCTGACCAATTTAGGTGTAATTTAAGTAATTAAAAATTAAAATGCAATTACCCTTTTGACACTTTTCTGGAACAGTGAAGTAAAATGTCCTTGGCGGATGGTATTGACTAGTTCTCGGGCAGCATGATGAGGTGATACCAACTCCACGCAGTTTATGAATCTGTACAGTTTCTGAAACAAAAGGTCCGCATACACCGCATGAGTTTGAAAAAAGACATTGTAACGTAGACAACAATAGGTAAAAGAAGCTCGGCTCTAAAAGACAATACGACAAAGAAAAGTGCTCGTTCAGTGTTAAAAGCCGTTCTGATCAGTGGGCGTAATCCTAGAGGAAGCCTGTACCTTAACGGTTGAGTAGGGCAAACAAAGTACCCTCAAAGTACAGAGTGTGCCGCCGGCAAACTTACGATGATATGATAGCCTTTGACTTGCACAGTTCAGAGTAGGTACACATTACTTATGGTATAGTTTAGTTAAGAGGATTATTGTAGTGCCATTATTACCATCATTTTCATAAAATAACAGGTAGTACCCAAGATGGCGTAGTTACGTAATGGTGTAGTTTTTACTTCAGTTTCGCAGAAATGCTATTAAACTTTATTTGTTTCAGAGTGCTGGAACAATAATAACAGTTCTTGGAAAGAAGAAACCTTGTTTCTCTTAGATTTTTCTATAATTTCCTTTTACAAGGCAACTAAAATTTTATTTTAATACAAAACATTGGATGGAACTGTAAGATAAATTGATTTGTAAGCTGATGTACATATGTTTAGTATCATTATTATTAATTTATGGAGAGCATTCCAGTTAATGCTAATGTCACTCGAGCTTTCTCATTAAGTAACTAAGAACATGTTTCCCGGAGGCAACTTTGTTTCACGTAGCAATTACGCTTTACTTTTATACATACTTGCAAAAAATAAGGATTTATTTTATATGACAAAGTAAAGGGCAGTTGCATAAAAAGAAATATGAACTACATTTTTGTGCTTTTCATTTGCCAATGTTACAAAACTTTCCATTGAAGTCAGTTTTAAGTTAACTCAACGATGAAAAAATGAAAAACGAGTACTTAGTAACAGAGCAGCGGGAAGCCATTGAAGTTGTTTATTATAAACATCGAGCTACTGGAATAAAATTATGTAAAAACTACCCTTTAGGCAATTTGTTTAGTAAAATATTTATATGTTCATTCAACCTTGAATAAGGATAACCAAGCACAATACGAAGAATATTTCATGTAGGTACCTGACTACTATCAGAGGCTAAAGTCATTACAATCGACTTTCAGACTTCCAGTGGCACATTAGTGTTTTTGTATCAAACAGTACATTTTGATAAAGAATTCACAGCTCACTCAAAAATCTCACCTGACTAAAAAACATAATATTTCTGCTTCTCCAAATTGTTCCTTTGGGCTGATGTCGGAGTACGGGCAGGGTATATTTATAAAACAAATGTTCGAGGATCAATATAAGACAGCCCACGATCATGCCAACTCCCAGTAGAATGAATACCCCCGCAACAGCTGCCACACCTATGAACAAGGATAAAATGTTTTAATTTTAAACACCCACACTACTTACAAAAGGTTCAGTATTTTTCCTTTAACATAGGTAAATATCGTTCCCTTGTATCAATAGGTACTTGTATAACAATTACGTAATATTTTTTGTTTAAAGAATTCAATAGAATTTGTGCCTATTTTTCCTTAAAATGAAATGTATGAGTTTGTGATCGAAATGATGATGAGAAAATTAACTAAAGTAAAATAATTTATATTTTACTTTTCAATCACTCCTGATTTAACATGGAATTGTAACATAGATTTGGATAACCTAACGGATAATATATTTATGCAGAGTGGTAAGCAGTAAAGTTAAAAAGTCTCACACCATATTACACGGGTTTTGTAACATAAATAGTGAAAAGTCAATGTTACATTGTATAGTGGCATTAAGTGTCGTAATGTGCACCTTTGTCTATAAAAGGCGTGATGTTATGTTATGTTTAAAAAGTTTTCTTGAAATAAAGTTGGGTTGATGAATTGGTAGTATTGTTATATCGTAAATACCTATACTAGCCGTGTCATTTAATAGTTGCTTGTCTGGCACGAAACAAAACTACCATTTTATTATGATTGTTTGTTCTTCAAAACCCTAAAAACTGTTTCTTATTTAATTAAGCATGAAAACAGCAAAAGTTTGGCCCGAAATTATAATTTAAAGCAGACATTTTATCAGTGGAATGCTCCAGGCTACTTAATTACCCGACGTTACTTTCATATTAATTTCGTCGAGGTCGAACGTTTTCAAAGTGATCTTTAGGAAAATAATCTTATTTAAAGGTATTTAAATGTACGCTATAGAGTAAATATTACTTTCAGAGAAAGGTTATAATGTTACCTCAAGACAATTTTTTCTTTTCATACGTATAAATGCTTTAAAATCTTCTTAAGCTGTGCCTTGTGCTGCTGTTGATATGACAAGATTTATGAGTGCGTTCTGAGCTGAAGAATGAGATTGTAGCTAAGTACTTGAGCTTTAGTTATATAACATCGTAGTTCTTATGTCTCGTACGTAGGTAATGATTTACCTAATAATTGCAATCTAATTATAACAAAAATATACACAAATAAGTATTTATATGAATAGAAAACGATTCTTATTTTTGGATTTTAAAACTTTTTCGTCTTGCCTTTAATATTTTATTTTGTCTTTAATGTAAATAATTAAGCACGTATTTTAAAATTTTAACTTAGTAACTGACATAGGGAAATGAAATTGCAACGTTTGGAACAATGTAAATTTCCTACTTCCAATTACGTTTTATTTTTAATTACGTGACTTATTTTCTTAAGGAATGTTGTGTTTATTTAACTCTTTATATAAAATAACAAACAAACAAAAAATCAAATCTTTCCTCTTTATATTATTAGTGTAGATCAACAGCCAATTAATTTTCCTTTTTTTTCCTATTTCTTTCAAAATTGATACAGAATTAGGCGTGACAAAGTAACCATTTCTCGGAAGTTTTGTTTGTCGATTCTAGATTATTATTATTATAGTATAAAATAAATAGCGTTCTAGGAATGGGATCGATTCTGGAAAGGACTAAGAATAGCTTATAGGTGCTACTATGGAAATAATGATAATACAAAGCAAAAGTTCCAAGAGTCTCATTTTTTTTAACTTATTAGTTAAAGTTCTCGTTCCTGTCCGCAGACACGTGCGGTCTAAAGAGGCCATCTATAAGATGTTTTTGTAAACAACAACCATACTAACAACGACAACAGTAGATGCAAAATAACATAAATAGAGAGTGCTTTAGTTTGTCTGTTTTGGTACCTACATACTGCATGTGTATTTGATTTGTATTTGTTTTCTGTATTGTTTTGTCTGTTTAATGTGCTTACTAACATATTTGTAAAGATGTTTCGTATTTTTATTTTTGTATTTCGTTACTAACACTGTGGACCTTTGATGTATTAAATAAATAAATGATTGATAAATAACCTCAACTGCTCACCAATGTTTATGGACCCTATTTATTTGTAAATGAACGTTGTATATTCGTTTATCGGGCCCAATTTTAAATTTTGTGATACTACTAACAATTTTCGAAAATTCCCAAGTTTTCTTTGTTCTACTCAAGAATCGAATCCAAGATCCCTTGGTTGGCAGCCCTATTTCAACCACTCGGCCAAAAAGATACTCATGAAAAATTATTTCGGTTTAGTTAGCCGTCTGATTATGGTCAGCGGAGTATTACACAAAAAAATTGGCGAAAGAATTATCAGATCGTTTCCTACGAAAATAGAAAGATTTTATGAAAAATTCATTCGCGAAATAGATTGCGACCATTTTCTTCGTAGATCTGTATCATAGAAATTGATCTATTATAGATGAATTCTTTCGATATTAAGTTGATTTCGTTCTTACCACGATGTATGGGTTCCATTACGCAATCTATCAGATTGGCAATTTGTACCATGTCCAAAGGGGCTTGTTAAATTGATCGATCCTTTATAATGAAAATCGAGTATCGATCCAAATTGGAACGGCATAGAATAAATATGCTTTAAAGTAGATGTCTAATTTAAAATTGGTTGACTTACTAATACATCAACAGATTAAGATCTGCACAGTGGATACACGAACATATTTTGGACTCAACTATGAACTACTTAGAAGAAATATTTTAAAGAAAACGAAAAATATACCGTCATATTCAATGTTAAAGTGTGTTTATGTCATAATGTTTAATAGTTATCGATCTCAACGAGAAGGCTGAATTCTAAGATTGGCTACCACTCTTATAACCTTTACACTAACGAAGTCGTCAAATAACGTTTCATGGTAAAAATTTCCTTGTAAATATTTCCTTTATGAACTCACGTAAATAAGTGCCCTTCACATATTATGATATTTTCCTTATAGCTCTGAAAACACAACGCCTATACATTGTGTATGTACCTACGTGCAAAATAAGTTGAGGGAATATACGACAACAAAGAAACAACTGCGTCAAACGCGTCTTAATTATTACCTAAGTGTGGATTTGAGTAGTATGCAAATTAAATATAATCATCAACTTTATTTTATACAGGCGTAATATTTTCCAACAAACTTTTCCTTGATGACTTTAGACATTTTATGACTCATATATGAACAATATTATTTGAAATTGTTAGAAAATTTTGTAGACATACCTACTAAATTTTGTGCCGAAACTTTTGCAATATCAAATATAGATACGAAAACTTGAAGCAATGGCTACATTCAGAACAAACATAGCGAACCGCGAAGTTTTATAACTTTCTGAGATATACTTGAAGATATCAGATCACTTGGCACGCACAATGGACCGCAGTAATACTGATAGTATTCATTTATACAAACACAATTTAAAGTTTACTGTTTGTATCTAAATATAGGTACAAAATAAATATGAAACTGAAAAAATAAATACAAGAAAGATGATCTGAGTATGATTCGGCCTTGCCAAAAAAAAAAAGATTGGTAAAATTTTCATAACACAACTCAATTCCCTCGTGTCACTTTACTTTTAATCGCACCTTAGAGAGTTTATCCCAAATAAGAGATAAACATATTGTCGGTGTCAGCTCAATTTTTTCAAACGATAAATCCCATGTTTAATCTTTTAGGTCGCCTGGTGGTAATACCTCTCCCTTTAGTAAGCGACGTTGAGGGGTTGGATTAACGTGGGGGTGGCGATAAATTCTAATGAAATTTCCGCCAGAGACGAGCCAGCTGACTACGTAAATGTTACGAATACACATTAAAATAGTAATACACACAATTCTGCCCAAATAACGTTACAAACAAGATTCTTGTAACATCTTCCACGGAGAATTTATTTTACAAAATGACACGTAAATATTCATGAACTTAAACAAGACAAACTTATTTCACTAATTGTGTACTATTGTAGATATTGTAATGGTTTCTGTCTGAATAGCTAAAAAGTTCTCGGAAACAAGAGTAACTATCTCTTTAATGTAAAGCTTACCGAGTGGCTTTGGTTGGATTCCATAGTCTGGGCTGAGTTTGAAACAAGGCAAACCGCCGTACCACTTCTCAGTTAGAATGTCCATGTAACCATTCGATGAATATTTAGCTATCACAGCTGATATACTATCCTGAAACAAACAAACACTGTGATATTTAAAACCGAACACGGGTGTAGCAAAATGCAAATATTATACAAGTGGACATATTTGTAAACGTCAGAACAATCACAACACGCTCGAGCGATTACAAAATAAAAACAATGGCGTCACATCTGTGTCGATCTTTTTTTCTGTAAAACAAAGCATCAAAAATAAAGGAAAAATCTCAAAGCGTGTCATGTACAAAACAAAAACTCTCTTTCGGATCCATTGATTTATGTCACTGATTCGGATAAACCTCTGGGGTATATTGAACAACGTCAAGATAAAATGACGTATAATCGGTTGAGCTGGAGCTACCTGACACCCGACTATCGATCACACCATTAGGAGTTCGCGTGCGTCATCCATCAATCTTTCGTGCAAAGATCCGGAGTCGTCCCCCACCACTCAGGACTCCTATAAGTCCTCCAATTCATGTAAATGTACGCTACATTTCTTCAGAGACGTTGCTTAGTCACACTCCGCCTAATTTAGGACACATTATCTTTGTGTAATAATTCACCGTCGTAGGCATAGCACTTAGTCTTGTGACACATGAATTAAAGCAGTCATTCTATTACACATACCTTTAAAGGGAACCCTTTCGCCATTCCAATAGCATACGCATCTTCAGCAAGAGGATGATCACCAATTCGTTGCAGTTTACAACCGTGATCAGTGGCCCGATAATAGTCCAAAACCGGAGAGTCAGCTATTAATAGGTCTAATGTACCATTCCTGCAACAAAACACATTGAAATAATTTTCTATCAAAAGAAATACTGACATGGACACCTCAATTCATATTAATACAATTATAAAGGACAACCGAAATATTTAGAAAGTAAACATACCGACACTCATCTCATGAACGTCAAACGTAAACCTGTAAGCGAAAGGATCCCAAAAACTCGAAGTGGGACAATAAATATAATGTTCTGTCACGACAGTAAAAAAGTACAATAAAAACATACAGTTTCCAGAGCAATGTTAACTTAATCCGACGTCTGAATAAGGTACAAAATATCTAACAACAAAGTACCTCACGTGACACATTGCAACCACTCTCTGCTTTTAGTTGACAAAGTTCGGGGCTTTTCCGGCCTTAAAACACGTCCCTTTGTTTTGGCTGGTGACAGTTTATAGCTTAATTGATGAATGAAATACAAAAGCGGGCACTAAATCTGAATATAAAACAAATGTACTAAAAGGTATTAAGTGGTGATCAGAGTCCGACGGACTTGAAAATTTTATGACTTCATAAAATTCAAAAGCGTTTTTTGAATCAAATTACCGAGGTAGCTATCAATATTCCTTTCATTAAAATTAATGTTTCGATTTGATTTAAAAGCGATTTATTGTCCCTATTACTTCTGAAGTTTCAATATCATTAATACTTAACTGATGAGGTTTATTTCATGTGCATTCCAAATTAATTGAAATTTGTGGCCAACTTCGACAAAGGATTCAATGATTGAAAGTCAGCAATACTGCGTTCGGACAACATTCGTGCGCACAGGATTTAGTATAGATAATTATGTAGGTACCTAAACGACGATTTTTCAGGTTAAGGATTTTTTTTTCACAAATTTAGTAAAATCTACTTTAATCGATATTCTTGTAATCTCTAACAAATCAAACCATATATTTTAGGTACTGAATATGGCTTTACTAAAGATGAAAAAAATCGGATATGAATCATTTAAAAGCAATTTTCATAACATATTTTTTTACACTGTGATTTTGCTGTACTGTCTAAAAACCTTAACTTTTGGTTTTCATCTCAACACTTTACGTTCTCAAACGTGTACCATTTTAAACTTCAACATAATAAGTTTAAAGTAGTATCTTAGCAATTTTATATGCATATCTTACGTTAGAAGTTACATAACTTGGCTTAAGTTAAATTATAATTTAAGAGCCAGACGCACGAACTTTATTATACCCGCCTGTTTCTATAGAAAAGGTACGTATAATACCTTACCTGAGTCTTTGAATGCCTTCTTCAACGTCTTGAAGGGCGTAACGACGCATTTGTTGCGCCAGCTGCGGATTATTTCGTTGAACGTAGTACTCAGACACCGACGACCTGGCTGTCCCCACTCGCAAAGACAGCCACTACAATACAATTACATCTATAAGAAAGTCTCCAAACACTCAAGCTTTATAGTAACTACGTCAATTTACTTACGTTGCTTCGACCTTGGTAATCATCGACCGCATTGTGAAAAAACAGTCCAGCAATCAGAGCGGCTATATTGGCAGTGTAACTGGCAACGAATATCACAGAAAAACCTCCCCAAACGTTTATCAGAAACTTATTAGGCCAACTCTTAGGGGCTTTGAATGCTACTAAATGTCCACATAACAGTCCCCACATAACCCACAGAGCACTGGAAATACTAAAGTTCTTTGATCTTTGTCGGCCCCAAGGGTTTAAACCAAAAGGTGAAAGCCATTCGTATATGGCTACAGCTATAGCTGTTACATTTAAAGATGTAAATATAGCGATCCACAATTCTGGTGAAAATGGCAGGAGAAATGCAAGCAGTGGTATATCAGGTCGCTGATTAGGAGCTGCCAGTATTGATACTCCGCTAAAAAAGTATGGTTGGCTGTAGTCTATTACTTCTGCTCTAGCTGCTGACACGCTGAGAGCTGCAAACGACATATGTGCGGCTCCGGAAACCAAATCTCCAATAATGCCATTCCATTTTTCAACACTTTCATCTGGCTCAATATCAAACAGATATGGCGTTTCTTCCGTATCTTCTTCTAGTGATTTGTAACCGTTACGGTATTGTGAACGGTAACTTTGATAATTTATTGGGGCGTATTCGCTCGCTACCGTTTTATATTCAAATATTCGGTGGAACGGTTTGATAAGTTTTCTGGATCCATATAATCCATCTTCTACAATATATAAATGAAAATCGAATTCTAGTTCTTGAGCTATATTCTCTAAAAGATCCATTGCAAGTCCGTAACAACAATGCGTTTCCATTTTGGTGAGTACGGGCTTTGACGTGGGAAAGAAAAAATCATCTTGATCGCTTTCCCTTTCCAATTCATTGAACGCAAGGGTTAGGTTATCTCGGTCGGACGTTTGTGGCCGGTGACATAGAAGGCCCCGGAGGCATTGGCCGTCCTCATCGAGCTCACCTTCCATAACAAAAGGGGGTGCTAACGCTGTGACGATGCGGAATATAGTGCGGGCACCGTCGGATTGTCCGTGAGCTACTAGCTTACCACCTGGCCATACAATGGTGTGGAGTCTTACACTGCGACCAAGCACGTGGCCTACTTGTCTCCACGTATTTTCGCCGTCGTGGCCTGACACTAAATTCAAAAGAGCAAATGAAGCTGTCAATGATCGCTCAGGTCGCTCCGTGCCCCCAGCAAGTGCCGCCGCTGAAGATATTCGTGTCTCTCTGAGAACAATAAAATAAATAAGTTTGTTGTAAAAGAAGATTTTAAACAAATTTAAGCGAGCAGATTTTTGACATCGGCAAAATAGCGAATTATTATTATCAAATTTCACAACGAAGCTTTAAGTTAGGAACGTATTATATACGATGCCCGAGGGGATAGCTTAAATAAAGCCAGGGAAAATGTTCTTAAAAAGCTCCTTGATCTTTCAATAAATTGTGGATTTGGGGCTAAGTAATTTAGCTTTATTTTAAAGTCAATTCTATAAAGAGTCAATTATTATTTTTAGTGGAAACTTGGAATGGAATATTTATTGGCACTTTAACCCAGCACGCCATAACGTACACAATACACATTGTTTATGTGTATTGTGTAGTCACTCGCAATGGTAATAACATCAAAACATCGAATATAAAATAGCAGTAAATTGCCAGAATTACAAAGGTATTATGGTTGTTCATTCGAAGAAACCAAGAGATTATTTTAAAAACGAAACATTATGTTATCAGATACCTACTTGGAAGCCACTGAAACGAAGTCAAAACAATCTCAAATTGAGATAATAATAGAATTAATATTGAACAGCTAATGTGAACAAACATTTTTCCACAGATATACAATTGAAAAATAGGACATAACACGTTAAAAAACAAATAACATTTTACGGCTTTATTTAAAAGCTGGGGGTATCCAATTTCCAATAACAATTATTAATTTCATATCGAAACCGGTGACGGGTTATATATTGAGTTTAACAAATTGGATGAATAGTAGGCACATTGCATACAATGGGTTGTATTATGTAGTGGTAATTTATGGAACAGTGGACAATAAGTAGTAAATTATACTTCAAATACATAATGTGAAGTGGAAGTATTTATTCATTTAATCAGATTTATTAAAGTTAATACTATAGTCATATCTCATGCTGGGAAATGTTAAGCATATAACATTACATAGAACTAGTCAAGTTACAAAATTGTGTGGTTTTGTGCCCTCAGAGGAGGAAATGGGTGCGAACATGCAATATCCGTGTCGGCCCGCCGATACCTACATTTGACCCGAGCCCGGCCCTCACAAAATGATAAAATAACATCAGCCCGCACAACCCCGTCTGTTTCAATATTTTAATACTATTTATTTTAAAATATGTTTCCTCTTAAAATGCTTACACATACGTTATTACACATGCATACACATACGTACTTTGGAAAAATACTCAATAATGTATGTTTAAAGACTTTGGTTATAGTTTCTCTTCGTTTATTTTATTAGGTTTTTCAGCGACAATATTGACATGTTACATAAAATATCACAATAATATTTTAATTAGCATACTGTACACCAATTCCAAGAAAACTACTAGCAATATTATAGGTTGCCAAAGTATATACTTTGGTACTTTAAAAGATTTGTTTGTGAAAATTAACGGGCTGTGACATAAGCCGCCTGTATGTACAAAGCTTCTACAAACAGTGGCTTGTAATCGGTGTCACTCATTTTGACGCTCCTTACAATGCGTCAGATTGTAACATGCATATTTTTATATTATCAGTTTAAATTGACGTTCAAAATAAATTTTGAATACTTAAATATAGTTATTAGTAGCATAGCAAATTAGTTTGTGCAAATTATTACAGTTATGATAACTTCAACGCCAAAGGCTGTTGAAACTTTCACTCATACTAATCCGGGATTTGGATTGTAGACGTAGGGCAAACGTCCCGGGGACATCTTCCCAGTCAGCCGCCCACCCGGCTCCCAACCCGAGATTGCCAAAGCCCAAACAGCAGATGTCAGGCAACCATTATTATTCCTTGTGCGTAAACCAAAGGGATTTTCCGTAACGTAACAAGTAACTTTGTTCAGAAAAAAGTTAAAATTAAATGTATTATTTATCTACTTGTACTAACCTCAATCGCCATTACGATTGTATTGAAAGCTGATCAGTACAGTCTTTTTTGTTCAAGCTACATTGTTGGCATACTTAAACTTTATTGAGTTGAACAAATGAGTACCCGTGGGCACTCTATAGGAAAATTCGGCACGTGTATGCTAGAGAATAATGGAGTTGTTGCTATCTAACAAGTGAAGGATACGATGTTAAGACATGGATAATAAAAACGAAAATGATTGTGGATAAGGAAGCATTGTAATGGCCGCTAAGCCAGAGTGCGTAAAACTGTATTCACCAGCGACCTGACCTATTTAGCTGGCCTAATTTCTGAATGAACTAAAAAGGGAACTATCTGCGTCAAGTCATGTCAATAGATGGCGATCATTTCGTCGAGTCAGCCTGCACAGTCTGGCCGTCGGCCAAAACTTGCTGCCGTGCAGTTCCTACCGATTTATGATAATGTGATCGACTTGGATTTTACCCAAAAATATTACGAATATCTATAATTCAATTGTATTCATTTTAGATAACAGGACAAAAAATACATAGGTAAGATTTATTTTTGAAAGTCAAGACTGTTTCATTCGAGTGTCTAAATCAACATGAACGTAGGATAACAAGTATCGTATTTTTCTAATTTATGTTACCAAGTTTATTATTATTCGTCATAGGTTAACTCATGAAACATATAAAATTATTTTCTGATTTCATGATTCAATTGTACATGAAATAACCAAACAATTTGGTAACACAGGTAGCGATGTATTGCCGCAAAGTAGACGGATTATTCTTAATGACAACAATGTCCGATAATACTAATTGATCAAATGGTTGGACGCGGTCTAATATTTGAAAGATTTAATTAAATCAATTGATGTTCCAGACTGTTTCGGTTTTATATTAAATACTCGTTGTACAATATTGCGTTACAAACATTAAGCCAAATTACTTTCTTTAAATTCAGAGTTCATAACAGAAAAGGAATGTTTATGAGCTCACGGATTTAATATTACCTACTATTTAGGTAGACGGAATGCGCGCTATTTAGCTTCAAATTGGAAGAAAGTACGAACTAATTTAAGCGTCAGTGAATGAAGGTAATGCTATTAGTCACTTGTCGTAGAGCAAACTATCTCAGGAGCTGTCTTTTCTATTCTAATGATTTGAAGTAACTTGGTGATTTCATACAAGGCAATTGAAAAAGGAGAGCAAAGACACTATTTTTTTATTAAATGAATAATGGCAGCAATAAAAATTTCAGGATTATAATTGTATTAGAGTGTAATAATTAATTAAAGTGGTTTATACTATAAAATCCTATATGTCTCCGTGACCGTTTTTCCTGGGCTCGTCCTCCTGAAGCCCTCTATAGATCCAACCTTAAGTCCCTTCTTAAAATCGTTCAACATAAAACCGATTTCTACTCCTACTCCTTCACTGTTCATACGGTGAGATTGTGGAATTCGCTGCCACCTAACATACGCGACTCCAAGTCCAACTCCATTTTTAATCGACTTGTCAGAGATTATTATCTTTCGTCCTGAAGTACATCTTTATTTATATATATTTAAACATATTTATATGTCATCGTATTTAAATATTTCAATTTTTTTTATTTATTATAATTTGCTTAAGTATATATTTTATTATTATATTCCGGTCATTTTAGTTTTAAGTTCTATCAGTTATTTTATTTTGTTTTGTATTATAAATAAATAAATAAACAATCCGATACCAATGGGCTACATCGCAGTCGGATAAATAGAGACGTGGATAACGAACCAATAATGAAGACCATTGCGAATAAAGCGTCTCGTCACGATCATAGCAAGATCATGATTTTGAAATGAAAATACAAGTGAATTGATTCGATGCAGGATTCATTTATCATTTGGTGAATCCCAAGCATTTACGCGCTTCTCCTGGATACATTACGGCAATCTCTGAATAGGGTTTAGATCGGATGCCGATCACGTATTTTATTGAATAACGTTCTTCGAAGCGTGTGCCTTCCAACACCACTATTAAGGGGTCAAGAGCGGGGGTCCTTGAATGTCTCACCTAGAAACATGACCAGATTTAAGGTTTTAATGTTTTCAATTTAAGGCTAACTGCTTGCAATATTGGTTCTTGATAAAAAGAAGGTCTTTTTGGGTTTTGTTTTCGTTCTTCTAAAGGTGAGAGGAGAAAGAAAGAAGGCAAGATGAGTTTAAAGGTCAAAGCAGGTCAAATTGTTTATATTTATTTTTAGCACATGTATGTATGTACATTGTACGTCGGTATACCAGGAAATACAATTTAATTGAACGCACCAATATAATTTGTCACTGAAATGGGTCTTGGGACCTGACCCTACGAGATAAAGAGTAATCCTTACCGCTCTCTTAGCAATAACAAATGGGACGAACCGATAGTTTATACTAGGAGTAAAAGAGCAAGTGGGTACACAGAGCTAAGCTTACCCTAGTAATAAAAACAAGGGTAAAAATCAATTTTAAGCAATATAGCCACTAAATATTCAAATTAGAAGCTAGTTTCGTTTTATGGCCCGTTATTTAACATTTACCATAAACAATTTAAAATAATGTGCTGTTGTGGCTTATTATATTGCTACTATAAAATTAGCTTAGCTATTGTGTAACAAAAAACCTTATTAAAATACGTATAAACAAATTAATAGCTTTTCTACATGAGGACTCAATCAATAAGATTATATTATTTAAAAATAAACGTATTTATTTTCCTTTCTGCTAAATTATCTGTATTTGAACATTTGAAACATAAAACTCAGAACCGTATCCCAGGAATCCCATAAAACCTAGACAAATCGTCGAATCTTCTCAACGACTAAGGAATTAGTGCCTAGATTAAATGCGACGTACCCAACAAAATCCTTTCTACGCAGTTAACATCGTTCAGTTTGCACCCGTCTCACGTAAGAGCTAAATTAGAACCAATTTCTTCTATTGTGTTTCTGAGAATTTGGGTTAAGGCTCGGAGGTTTACTACCGTACCAAGTACATTAATGTCCCTCAAGTATTTAAAGTAATATTTTGTGTAGACTCTCGCTGAATGATATGGCTAGGAATTTCTTAACAGCGTTGTGAATAATTTACGTACGGTAATAGTGATATCAAACATGTGTCTACTTTAATGTTAATGAAACGTAATAGTACCTAGAGGTATACAAAATTAAGTTAAGTGAAGAAATATAATTTGATAACAAACTGAACAACGCAATCTAAAGTTTCAAGCTCACCAACTTCCAAGTTCATTGGCAAGTGAAGTGTCCTTGTAAAATATTGTAGCCCATTCATTCTCAAAGTGGCTTCCTGACTCCAGTGGCATGTTTATGAAATTGGTGCGGCGCGCTGACCTTACAGCACATATTGGATTCAACGAAAGCTAGTGAGAACTACGCCACTCTGAAAGTGTTTGCCGTTTTCGTATATAGCTATTTTTCTTTTGAATTGAAATATGAAGGCAACTGATATGACGGGAACGTGACATGTCACGCGCTACTGTTTTGTTTTTACGCTTTTTCTCTACATGTAGCGTGTCTGTGTCTGGATAATATTTTTGTTCGTGCCCGCATAAAATTCGTATTTCTGAATGGATTATTTCATTTTTCTACACCAAAGGTTGTCATTTTTAAAAAGCTTTTGTTCATACCAAAGATTAAATCAAGCATAAACTGGTTCGGTGTGGTGAAGATATAAATCCATAAAAAATAGTAACACAGAAAGATGATTCTATAGATAAAAATATGGATGGAACTATTACTAAACGTTACATCATATATCTATATCCGTTTTATGAAAGTTTGGGTCTAAAGGTCAAACATGTGTTGGGGACAGGGATATGTTAATTGAAAAGGATACAAAAATGTGCCTTAGCCGAAGTACTTGTAGAAAATGTACGGCAGCGTGACGCTTCTATTTAAAAGGCAGCATAAACTGTGCGAGGTGTCTACGCAATTTGGTAGTGGTAACACCCTCGTCACTGTCACGTGGTAATGCGGCGCAACGCGACGGACCGCACACACAAGCAATAAATAAACTTAAACAGTTTACTATCAACCCCGCGTTTAATTGTCTTGATACTTTGCGTTTAACTCTCATAAACTTCAGTGAAAAGGATAATTGCTGTGGAATTTTCTTTTCATTTCTAAATAGAATTTCCAAGACGTTGAATGGGTGTATTCTCGAGGTCTTTTCTTTCTTAAAGCATCAATCAGAACTTTATTAAAGCAGTCTGAATGGTCAGCTGTAAACTAGAATGAAACGGAATAAAAGTGAAGCGATTGGAATTTGCCAAGATTTTTTCGGTTCGTATTCGAAGCGTATCCTAACCTATTGCTGAACTAGTGCTCCCGTTTGGCATCAAGTGGAATGCGGTCAACTCCAATTCAACGAAAAAAGCAACAGTGATACACCGCTAGTTTTAATTTATTTTATTGTAACAGATTTTGATTACAACTAGTGTGTAAATGTTCGTAGCATGTGTCGTTGGTCGGTCGACTACGATAGTTGTACATGATAGTCAATCAGTATCAGTAGGTAGTAAGGAACTCATATATATAAAAGTACTTTTCTAAATTAAAGTGACTACATTGGCTGCATCCAAACGTAGTGATAAGTATCTATTTTGTGGTAATCGTTACCATATGACAAGATTATATGAAAGGAAAACAATGAAAAGTACATTTAATATTTATTATTGAAAAGCATTCAACACAAGCTAACAAACTAACAAGCTAGTAAGTACTTTATTCAAAACACGAACTAACTGTAGCCAAACGATCCTACTGCTAACAAGAACAAAACGGAAGTGCATAACATTCGTGTAACAATGCCAAGAATCGGATTACGTGAGACGAAACGAATGGTGTAGGTTACTGCGGGTGACCAACGATGTCTACTAGATAAGACTTTATGTACCGTAATGCTACCGATATAAACCCACGAGCTGCTCCTTAAGATAGAGACACATAAAAGTAATCTCGACCCGTTCTCGGACCCGCTACTCAATTTGCTTTTATGATGATGTTTCGCGCTTGTTACCATTCTATTATCGTTCGCTGCTGCAATGTCTCAATACTTAATAACTGTAAAATGTCTTAATTATTTTCCTTAAGTGCGGACTTTGCAATGAATTCAATGTTTTCTGACGATTCTTTTATTTACAATGGTAATTTGCTTTCTATATCGACAATTCATTTATGCGTCGATTATGTTAATATTGCTTAATTACGTATTAACATTGTGCACGACATAATTATATTAATTACAGTAGCTTATCAATCAATTATATAGTTATCGTATTAAACCCTTATTTGCACTTAGAATGCGATTAACTACTGCTTCGCAAATAATAACAAAAGCAGAGCGTATTTCTTAGACTCGGCGTTGAATATCAATGAACATTTAATGGAAAACCGACGTATCTGCGCCTGGAGACAGGCTATCGCTTCCACAATTCAGTGAATTTATTTTAAAACTAGCTAACAAAATATTTGTTAAGCATAATGTTTTTATTCTTTACATTTTACAATATTTCAGATGCCTAAAAGGCACTCACGATATAATAGCACAATGTACCATAGAAAATTAGGGACATTAAAAATCGACATCCATTAATTTGTGGTTCAGACCAGACGTGAGACGTTATCAGAATTAATATTTTAATAAGGCGCCATGGTGTGAGGTGCAATCACTCACCGCCAGCGCTGCTCTCGATATCTTCAAGGTTCTTTCTCAACTTTAATCGAGGTCATTAGCAGCTTTACAACTAAGCGCAAAGTTCAGCAGTTGACAAAAGATATTTTTGCTGAATAATTTTGAGACCATTATCTATTTTAGACATTGGTCGGACACGATGAAAATTTTCAGTCGCCACATTTTCAACAGTCATTATTTGAAATTGGTTCCACTGACATTTTAATATTCGTAATTTTTCATGTAGTAACCAAAGTTTTGATATTAATAAAATTAAAATGGGACAAGGATGAAGAACGATTAATTTCAGTCAGGCACCTACAGTCTGTTTCAATTAATATAACTGCTTCTGCTTTCGGCATTGATATAAAGAATTAAATATTGAAGGAGAATATTTTTTCATAGAATCTGGCTGGCTCCCGGTATATAACACATTATGGCCGCAACTTTCAACAGACAAGAGGCTAAGCACTTTAAATATTACCGATAAAAACTAGTTTTGATGATCACCTCACAAATTCAGTAGAGAAGTCAGCAGCCGCATCGCTAGGTTCCTCCCAGCAGGACGCTGTGGCGTCACTCAAGAACTGCGCTTGAGCAGACCACGCGTCACAAGCATGGAGCACACGCCGCAGTGCCCCAACTGTCATTCGCACTGCTGCACGTATGAACGCCCGATCTAAATAACATATTTAAAATAAACGTAGTTGTAAATAAACTAAAGCGATATGACTAGTGGTATCTCAAAAGAATAAAAGAGGAAGAAAATGATAAATATCTGCGAAATCACAACAGTGGATGACAAAAAAGTACTATTTTTATTTTAGGTAGGAAAAGTGTGTTTGTATATGTTCGACAAGAAGTAAAAAGCGTTTAAAGGTCTCTTGTGTTCAACTCAACGTAGCATGAACCCCACATATACTCAGAGAGATCTACAACAAGAACACGACACAATCGCATCCCAATAATGTCACGTATCGTCAAGCTTTCACGTTAAGCCTTTTATGTAGCTGTCTTTTGTACATATCTACGCTAATCTAGAGAACCATTCAATTGAGTTTGCTATGGCTTTTGAAGTACAAAACTTTGATCGTATCAATTCAGAGTTAAATCTCGCTGGAAATCGAATACTAAATTTCGTACATGATGTTAGTTCAAAGAATTTATATGCCACAGTTTCGGAATTCCATTAGAAATTTCCAGAAAGTATGAAATTTTTTCTCATTTTTCAAAGTAGGTACCAAATAAAATAGTTTTTTTTTGGAAATGAATAATATCATCGAAATGTGGTTGTGAAGTACAATAACTTACCTATTTTCACTGGTTGAGGATGCAAAGCCAGTAGTCCGATAGGAAGGCTTTTGAAGATCACAGTTATGTTTTCTTTAATACTTTCTCTTTCTTTGTCCATTACTTCCTCGTTCTTAAAGTGTTTGTGACTTCTTTTTTCAGTTTTCTTGTCTTTAAAATTATGCACAGAAGACGCATGCACCTTGGGATTCATTAAGAAATCTCTAATATCACTTGATAAACCTATTCTATCATTTATTTTTCTAATATCATCATTGCTAGTACTATCATCTTGACCCAACATTACATGTTTAGCTACATTCACATCATCTACATCTATGCTATTTACATATTTATTAAAAGATTCATTTTTCATTTCTCTATAACTATTACGTCTACTATTATTTCTATTATGAAAGGGCATTCCCTTCGCAATTGAATTGTTTTCGATTTTAGAAGTTTCAACGCCTTTGTTATTTACATTATAATTTCTCATACTTCCCGAACTAATATTGCGATTACTACTATACGATTGACTAAAATTTACATATAATAATTTCTTGTTTACACTGTGTGTATCAGAAATATTAATATTACGACGAACTTTTGAATTTATAGAACTATTTTTTACATAAAATTCATCATCGATAAAATCTTCATCTACAACTTTCTCAGTTTCCATCAAAGTGTCGGGGCTTTTTTGATCTTCTATCGTATTATTGTCAGCATCGCCTCGTTTGCTGCGGTCAAAGCGTTCGTATACTAGAGCTTCATCATTATCCCTTAAGCCTTCAACATCCTGATCGTTATCTTCGTTATAAAGGGTTCTGTTGCTTATATTGTGAAAGATATCAACATCTTTTGAAGCATCTAGCCAAAGCCAGAAAAAGTTTCCTTCGAGCATGTTAAGACGCTTGGCCTCATCCATAACGAGCTTAGCGTAATTGACATCACATATCAAGACAACGACGCCTCGGGTCAGCCTTGATATCTCAGCTAGCCGCCTGCACAGAGAAAATAAATTGGTGTGGGTACGAGCAAACTACTATTTTTAGTGTCGGACTTAATTCAGATGTACTAAGTATTTTTAAAAGATAGATTCAGAGTATATTTATTAAACAAACAAGTTACCTGAAAAGAACATGACGCGAGAACTTTTTTGGAAGCGATAACCACTTTGGATCTAAAGGCGGAGCAGTTACTATTGAAGACAAGTCTTTCCGTAGAGATAGCGTGGTGTAAATATCTTCCTCTGCTAGCAAAGTGAAGGAGTGCCAATGAGTGTGCAGCAATGTAGCTCTGTAAGTAAAACGAAAAAGACTGATATCCGAATATTCTACTAAGACTTCATATTTTCCACTTTGAAACTTATTAAGAAATTTTATTTACCTGAGTGCGTGTAAAGTTTCCCGAGCAGTGATTTCCAGACGAATCTCTAGTGGAAGCAATTCCTGCGAACGAAACAACCCTCATAAGTCCACATAAGAAGCTGCATTATAATAATAATACCGTTAATTCGGATGGCCCCAACCCTCATCAAATAGTAATTGCATACTCCACTGACGTCAAGATTTGACCATAATCTGTATAATTTGTATTTGAGTGGCAATATCCTAATCATGTCGCGCTTTTTGAGGTTGTTATTAGTCTACGTCGAGTCGTAATCGGCACGAAAGTGGGTAATAAATGGCCATAATTTACCGCGACACCCGTCCCACGTTCACAGCCCGAATACGGGATATTGCGGCGAATATCTCACCTCTGGCAAAAAAGTTTTCCTGCAGAAAGCTGGAAAATATATGTTCCCACATCAAAAATATTATGCACCTCATAAAAATCTGATTTCCTCCACATGTGACAAACTCGCGCGTATCTTTATTTGTGTTTTTAAGACAGTACCGGGTTTAACAACTTTTTGTCTCTTGTTTGTTTTTGGGATCTACTAAAATAAAAAATCAGCGTAATAAAGATTCTTTGCCTGGTTTCAGTATTTATTATCACGTTAAACATCCGTTTTAAGAATAAGATGTAACTGACAAAAATGATTTTAATTTTTGCAACTAGTTTTGGATCAATTTTGAGTTCATAGGTTTGTTAAATTCGTCCATTAATATAAAAAAAAAATTACAGTTTTATTGTGAAATCGATTAAAGACATATTATTCTTATTCCATTAATTCACTACAAAAACTTAATATCGTGCAGGAAAGTTAATTATGAAGTCCTACTCTGAGGAAAACGTACAAAGAAAAGTTTATCACTAAGATGATGTGGGCATTCCCGAGCTCGCTCAGTGAGAGAATAACTGGATTCCGCAGCTCGAAACGTCAACTTCAGGGAACTCTGCATAAACCCACGTCCACACACAGCTTAAGCGACGGTGGCGAACTAATTTGCGTACGCTGTCAGAGCATTTTAAACACCAAGTTTGAATTTGCAAGTCACATTCTCTCACAATTGCGAATGCACAATATTTCCTGAAACCAACAACGGTAATATGCGGTTTTGCATATATTTACGAGCAAATCGTGAGGATATTTTTGTTGAGAAAATAACTCTTGTTATTGTTACAATCGCATTGTTAAAAACGTAGTTAAAATGTAATGTTGGCATTCCTTTTGTTACAAAGATATTACATGTGCATGAGAAAAAAGCTACACGCAAAAGGTGGTCCCGCCGATACGGCGATAGCGAGATTTATGTCTAAAACTAAGGTTAATTTACGAAGCTTAGCCATTAGAGCCTTAGGAGTTCGAAGAAAAGGTAAGGGAGATATCTAATAATGTCATCAGCATATCCTATAAATAATCTCTGAACGTGTCGCGCGCACCGTCAGTTGGTGCGGTCGTCACGTAGACGCATTATTTCACTGGCTGGTTGCCTATTCCCGACTTTATCATAGCAAGGACGATTAATAGCTCTGCATAAATGGAACCGTTGGCAGGCATCTCCTAACCAAAGACGGCGACACCGGTGACAAACCGTGTTTTTTACGATACAACCGAATAATTTTTGTTTTATCGCATGTGATTTATCTGAATTTAGTCCTGTCAGTTTCAGAGAAACCAAAGGATTTTACGCGTCCCAGTCGAGCAATAGTCGTAAAGCGTGGGCAATCGACGTATCATCAATAGTCACATTGCGGGTTTATTTATACTAAATATTCTCCAAAAGATAACAAATAAATACTCATTTTCCCCGGTATAAAAGCAGGAACAAAAATGTGTTATTTCACGGGCAAAGTTCTTTAACATATTGTGCGAAACATTCCGCAAATAGCGACGCCTTATTTAAAATTCTGTATAACGCGATGGTAGTAGATTAGGTGCTCTGTTTAAATAACAAGGCGCCGTGTATGTTGCCGCGATGGTACTTTCGCTATCAATGCAATGACACGTGACTACAGTCACAGCGTAAAAGGTAGAAATGTTTTGATAGTAGCTGGTATGTTTCAGATATAAATACGTTTACAATGCATACGACGTCGTATTGTAAACGTATTATTTAAATATGCGGGTACGATTATACGTGCTTATTTTTCTATCATTCTACCTGTTCTATTATATGTTTTTCACTTTTCTCAATAATACGAAATGGAACAACAAAATCTGTATCATTTTTGACATAGTGTTCATTCTAAGTTAAATTCATAAAGAAGACTATTTCGTTTTTCCAACGACAGCAAAGGAAAAGTTATACCTGCAGTTGAACGATAATAATAGAGCAACAGGTGATGCTTTAGCTTCATCTTCTTCTGTCTTACCTGCAGACCTAGCTTCCTATATTTTAAAAGGAAATCATTTTGTTAAATAGACAACATAATTTCTAAATCAACCCTGAAGGAAAAAATTCTCGTATACTTTAAAATTATATTCATTTGTATTTTTATACATAAAATTTTCCTAAAATGTAAACTTCGATTGATGCAAAAAGATAATTCAGTAAAAATAAAGCTATGTGGCAAGACGTCCACTTTAACAAAACCTGTCCTACAGGACAGGTAGGAGGACAATCTGATAATTCCACAAATGGAAGCCGGTGGATTCAAATGACAATGCCAACAGTGGCCTATAGCTAGGTCAGTAGTATTTACGATACTAATAACTAAGTCCCCAGTGAAGCGAGCCAATTACCGTGGTACCCCTCCGGACGATTTGTTGTTGTGGCCGCGAAAATGCTCTCTAAATATTAACAAATGAGAGAAACCAACAGTCCCTTTATGTAGGTATAATTTAAAGATTTAGCAGCCGTCGGCAACGTGAAAATGATGATGGATCGTTCATGGGCTAAGGACCAAAAATGTGTTTGAATGATGGCTGGAAAATGTGTTGCTTGGATATTTGCCTACACACATGCGTACATTTACTATAATATATAATTGAGTATGATAAATATTTTCAGTATAAAATGGGAAACTATAAAGCTCTTCCTTATTGTTAGTTTATCGTTACGATATTCGACTTTTAGAACATGATAATAAACATCCTATACAATACCATATTGTGTGCCTGTTTTGCGAAAGCAAAGCGCATCGTACGGAAGATGCTCGCAAGACCCAAAATCCAATAGCCTCCAATACGTTTGAAATAAAAAGTGTGAATAAAGATAAACTAAACAAAAGGATTTTATCAGTTATAGCATTTCTATAGTTAATTCTTACGTTGGCGATGGTGTAAGAGAGGTGCACGTGAGAGGGCGAGGCGCGCAGCACGGGGACGCCTGCGCGGGCGGCCGCTGTCACCACCGCCGCGGCCGCGCTGCCGCCGCCGCATACAAGCAGAGCCGCCACGCGCCGCCCGTCGAGCGCCGAGCATGTGCGCTCGAGCACTCGAACACCGAACCTGAAATAATTCTTGAGATAAGCTAAAATTCTTAACATGTAAATGTTAAACATAATTTTATTTACAACTTGTCTGTGTCTGTCACGGAGTCTGGAATTGTGCCCAGTATATGGCAATAGGCTCACCCCCTATTACATGGAACTCATAACATAAATTAGTGAAAAGTGGGTGTTACATTGTACAGTGGCATAATGTGCACCTGTGCCTACCCCTTCGGGATAAAAGGCGTGATGTTATGTTATGCAGTAATAAATGTGAAAAGCTAACACCACAACTGAAATAAAGTACGGATATATTACTATTCAACTGAATCTGGTTAAACTGAAAAGAGGAACTTCAATAATGCTTTACTTATTTCATTAGACAGATCATTTTAATTATTTATGCCAAAATGTGACAGACAAACAAATCCGTAATTTAAATTAATGATTCCCTATAACTTTGACTATCTACTGGTTTTATTAAAATATTATTTTAGTTTCGTAATAACATTATCCAATCTGACGCATGACTGAAACTTCTAGAACTAATTACTTCACGTGATTAATCAAAATAAACTTTTACAAATGGCGATTTATTATCCCTTAAATGTTTCTCTTTGAAAACTGTTTCATCACAAATTAATAAATTCACGTTTACGTAATTAGTTAATTGGATTAATGAAATTTATGCTCTTATTAATTACTTTACAGACTTTACGTACAGAAATGCAACCTCATCCGTGTTATGACAGATATTTTTTTCTTAAACGTTGCTCAATTTTGTGCTTTTCCTTATAAATTAAAAACAAAAAACATAATCAATCTGTAACCAAAAAAACCAAAAAAAAAAATTGCGTATAACACACATGTATTCGACATTAATAATGCAGTATTATAATAATCCTATAGGATTATAGCAATATTTGACTGACTAATACTTCTAAGGATAAAAATCTAGTCATCAATAAAACAACATTTACCTACGGTTATCTAGAGAGAAACATGTTTGTACATACATTTTACCATTTATCATAATAAATATCTTTAACATTTACTCTTTATTTTAATAGGTTAGCTTGAAACGTGAATAAATCGAGGTTCAAGCATTCCAAATATAACTGGTGAAATTTTATGGAATATTTTATAGTTTTAGTTCATTTAAACCATTTTGTATGGGTTGATAAAAACACGTCAAAAAATATTGAGTACTTTTTTATAAAGTAACTTTTTCTAAAACATATAGTACCTATTTGAAGAGATTGTAGATTGTACATGTGTAACTTTTTTTTAATAGGAAACGCATCTCGATCTATAAGAAGTTTAAACGACTTTTTTAAAAGTGTAGGTGAGGCAGGCTTTGGCACGACTGGGCCGGCTCAACCGGAGTGATACCACGGCCTCACAGAAAACCTACGTGAAGCAACGCTTGCGTTGTGTTTCGTCGTGTCAGTGAGGTTACCGGAGACCCAACCCTCCCCTTCCCCAATCTCCCCAATCCCTGAATTCCATCGATTCTCAAATCCTCAAATTCCTAATCCCTAAAAAGCCGGTGAGGCACTTATAACGCCTCTAGTGTTCCAGATGTCCATGGGCGACGCCGATCGCTTACCATCAGGTGATTCGTCTGCTCGTTTACTGACATACGTCATAAAAAAAAATACCAAACTTTTTTAACCGAAGTACTAACTAATAGCCACCTTATTTCTTGAAATTAGATTTAAAATTCCCCATTGTAGTATAGTTAGCTATTTATATGAACTTCGCCCAGAGGTGACCCTTCAAAATGTTTTTTGAACCCGCCTACATAAGTACCTACCAAACTTTTAGGCCTGTCTCAATTACTGGTTGGATAAATCGAATAAAACATCATTTGTCAAAAAAAGGATTATTTATGAAAAAGTTAGGACAAGTTATTTGTTAGGCATAATTTTTAAAAGCCCGTTCATTACGATGTAAAGTTAAAAGGACTTTGATATTAATTTTCGTAATTTTAAAATTAGATATATTTTTACAGTTATTGTTTCTACTGGGACTGTAAATACCTACCTTAAAACTGAGGGGTATTTTTTTTTTAAGTACTGTCTATATTTTTCGTGATATCATCAAGGTTCATCGTCACAACACAAATTTCATAATTTCAACATTTTTACGTTAATATTTACAACAAAAAACACCAGTTCAAATACTCTATTACAAAACCTGTGGCAAAATTTTGTACAAAAAAATTTCCCCAAAATTCCACATTACTTTGAAACGTGACAGTATCAAGAACGTCTTCACGCATAATCCTAAGCGTTGTAAGCAGAAGTGCATAATCCCGTGTCAATCAACTCGGGAGCCTCAACCTCCCGTTAAGTCAGTAATTCATTCCTAAGACAGGGCTGCCACAACTTAAGTGAACATTATAACTTTGGGGATAAATAACATTTTCTCTGAATTGTATTTATATCTCTCATGTTTAACCATATTCTGGATTTTATTTATTGTGTTAACTGTGGCTTATCTTAGGATAAAGCGTTTCGAATTAATTATAATTTTGCGTTTATTCGGTTTTGTATCATATTCAATTGGTTTAACAATTTTAAACACTATATTACTGCTCATTTTTTTGTGTGCAACCTTACCACTGAGATTTTTATTTTTAGCGGCGATGTCGCCGCGACAGAGTTAGCTGCGCGACATCGTCACGACCGCGGTTGGTTAAAATACTAGAACATATCCAGTATAATTATAGTACCTATACTATATTAAAACACATCTAATATTATTTTTACTTGAACGTAAAACCTCAAGATCAGCAGTTACAACTTCGTTCACGATTATGCCAATATCACTCAGCAACAAACTTCTCTTTGGCCATTTCTATCACACTAAAAATTTACTATACACTATAATATCACATTAAATAAAACCCTTTTTATAAAAAGATATTTACTTTCATAAAATTTAATATGTCTAGACAGGCTGAAGATAAATCGTACGTTAAATTACATTTGGGATCATTAGAGCGAAGGGTACGCTTACTGTAGAATAGATTAAATTGAAGTACATTATTCATAACAAAAATGTATTCAGAACTCGAAAGTGGTTGAAATTGCCGTTCTTGCTACATTCATTACTTTCTGTAATGCTTGTCTCTAACATTCAGACATTAAACTATTATATTCAACAAACAAAGAAGGGAACGCTACTTTACCGTACGACTAACAATTTCATAATAACTAATACAAACAGCATTGTGAGACTTGCCGTGGCTTTGTACTTGACGTTGTACCCACACACAATATGTACATTGAATTTTTGATACACATATGAATAGCTAAGCAAGCCTACAACTCAATTTTAACCACAATTAGTTCTCCGAGTATCATTTACACGGATCAGAACGCCGCATTGACCTATTTGCATTAGTAACTATACAGCTTGTTACAAACGGTATTTAACAGTAAGCTCACAGATTATATTACGGCTAATAATTTATGTATTATCAAACTATGGCATAAGTGACTTTGAGATAATCTTATAATCCATTTATTTAGTAAATTTAGGTTGAACATCTTATAAACGAGTAATACATTCAAGTTGTTTGTCTTTTCTAATCACCCTGTTGCTATTGTTATCCAATAACGCGTAAGACCTTGAATAATAACGTATTATACCAACCGAGAGGATAACATCGTAAGTACACTTCAGTCTCAATCCAGTCGCTCAGTGCCTCAGAAGTCGTTTTAAATTTAAAGCTTTAAAAGCGTCTCCGGCTCTAGTCTTTGCTCTTGCGATATAAAACCATGTCTACCCGCGGGTATCCTAACGTGTGGAGTAATTTTGAACGAATAGTGGAAGACGGAAGAATGTTAAAATTCGAAATAGAAGACATTCCAGAAAGCATGTGGAGTACGGCTGTGGAGTTTATGCTCGGCAACTACATCCGTGAAGATGTGTGGTGGAAAGCCGCCGGTGAGCTTCTTCTAGTTGATTGGATTCCTAAATTGAAGCAATCTCAATGTAATGAATCTGTTGACCGCGCTAATAAGTGGATATTTTTTGCAATTACGAAAATCCCGTCTCGTTTCGCTCACACTTTCTTACGCAAGAAAATACGTAAGTCATTAGCAGTTGTATGACCGTGCCGACGCCCAATTACCTCGAGGCCGAGAAAAACCTTAAATGTTCTGTCATTAGGCACCCTTCTCGCCAGTAGTCTCTTCGGCCGACTTGTGAATTCTAAACATTGTTTCACGTCATGCGAACAACCAAATAAGTTCCATCAACGACCCTCAAAACTCGAACAAAACATTTTGAATCTTGAAACTTACCTATTACAATCAGAACAGATCAATTTCGAAAATTATTAAGTTCGACTTCGTCTTCAAAGAAAAAGTTACTTAATGCAAATAATGTCGACAGAGTAAATCTTCTTTCACAGAATTAGATTAATAAACACGATTACGAATATCAGTGGCATTGAAATTAATCTTATAATCATATTTATTTTGTGAAAGCGCACAGACAAATTGGATCACACAAAGTTGCTAAGGTCTCACTTGTAGAATCTTAAAAGTTGTTAGGACGAGAATAAATTAACCTTGTAATGTTCCCTACTGACAGGCACAGCGCTGGATTTAGAGGCTGTACAAGAATACCGCGTGCTGCTGACATCGATCATTAGGCAGAAAATGAGCGTGGCGTGCTTCCTCGCCGAAGGAGACGGCTCGGGACGCACACTCGTTGCTGTTAACATGTGCTTGCCGCAGGAAAAAGGACGCTTCGTTGAACACAGGCCGGTAATAACGGTTGTCTAACCTCTTTTCAACACGCCCTTTTATTTCATAGCGTGAAACGGCTTAAAACCAATTTTATTTCTATTTATTATATATTGGTTGTACGTTTTGTAATAGGTTTGTATATTTTTCAATCGATTTTTAGAGTTCTTGATTAGAAACCGACGTAAATTTACTAGTGTAAATTCACTAGTGTATGACGATTAATAAATTTTTCAATCTTATTTTCTATCCTTCG